TTTCGTGATCTTCCTTTCAAGACTCCTGCAACCATATCATATTTGATTCTCTAAGGCACTGTCATATCTCCACTTCTATCGCACTGGCCTCCACTCTATCGACTAGCATTCTCTATATTGCTCTGCCATCCCATTGCAGTGACATACCATTGGCTTTGAGATCCCTTTCCTTTGACACTCCTTTGCTTTGGCATCCCCAATATGTAGCATAGATTTTGTTTCGTCATTATTTGAATTCAAATGCGATTTAGGGTATGTGCCGCAGTATATAATTTTAATAAAAATGTTCATATTATGTCTTAACTTGATGAACTTAGAATAAACTTTGTCATATCTAGAACCATACTTAATCAGTAAGAATTTATTTGAAGAAATAAAATAAATGCATTAAAAATAACAAAAAACAGCTAAAAATGGCGTAAAAACTGGGGACCCACAACGTCCCGCACTCAATTTTTTGGGGTACCCGGCAACCCATTTTTTCCAAACAAAGCTGTTTGGGAACGATTCTCCCCCAAGTGACGACTGGCTACTAGCCATCGGATACGGTGGGTGAAATGCTTAGCACCTTGGAAACCTGAGCTTCGAAAGTTAGACTATCAGCCGAAGCAACAGCAAAATCTGTTGGGTAGATACTTATCATATCTCATGAAAAACCACTCACAATTCACCGGAAAAGATCAGAAGTCATCAAAAAAAAACTGCGGACCACAAAGGGTCATGCATCACCGCGGTGGTGGCCACAAAGCACCATGATTTTCCCATATTTTTCCCATCATTTTCTCATAAATCCTCATCCATCATCTATAAATCAATAACTATTTTATAAATCATAAATCCTCATAAATCATTGGAAATCAACATACCCTCTGGTAAACTAACGTAGCTATGGAAAATCTCCATTTTTGGTAGGTAGATCATGGTAAATCAACTATTTCTATGGCCATTTTCAATAGCAAACTGTTAAATTACCAGAGGCTAAACCATATCAAGCCATATTAATCCAGATCAACCATATAGCTAGTATTTCCCACACTTCACCCCAGTATTTACCTATTAAGAATGGTGGTTTTCCATAGCTACGTTAGTTTACTAGGATCCATGTCCGGTGAGCCGTTGACCCAGGCTGCGCGTGCATGAGTTCTGGTCACCGTTCTCAGGGGGATCTTGTGGTTAAACGATATATCTATAGATGGAGGGGGAAAGACTATATATCATACATCATATATATATATATGGATATGTCATATAATAATAATAATTAATAATAATAATAATATATATATATATCATATCACTAAACAATAATCAATATATGTATGTATATACAGTATATATATATTTATAGATGGTTCAGTCTCGTTATGATTTTGATTGCGAGTTGTTGTGCTTACTTCTTATTCTTGATCATGAACATACATTGGTCTAGGAGTCAAAAGTGCAACTTCAAGGCCGGAAAATGTTGTGTTGATAGTGGCCGAAAACCGCCGAGCAACCTCCATTGTTTATAGGATAAACAAGAGAAAGCACCCAAAATGTGTCAGAAGTAGGAACTTGTTTACCCTCTGGTAAACTAACATGGGTCTTTTATTCATGCCCATCTATAGATGATTTACCCATTCAACATGCTGATTTTCCATTGTCATGTTATGTTATCTGGTTGGTGGTTTGGACCATGAATGTTATTTTTCAATTCAGTTGGGAATGTCATCATTCTAACTGACGAACTCATATTTTTCAGAGGGGTAGGTCAACCACCAACCAGTTATAGTTTACTGAGTATAAAAAAGAAAACGCGCCATTTGGATGGTTTCCGAATGATCCCAGAATCGACCAACACGAGGAATCCCGGAATGAGAAAAACGGATGACCAATGGGGGGGAAATCATCCAGTCGTCACGGATGACCAAACTATAGTATTGACACCTATTGTTTTGGGGATTCCCCATGTTAAGAAAGCCCCATATCCTCATGATAGTGGTTGAAGATGGTTGAAGCCTCATTCGTTGCTTCCATGCCCTATGAAATCCTATGAAACTGTGAATTTATGGCTCAACATCGCCAAGAAAACTGGAGAACATGGTAAAACCAAAGATCCAAAGATCAACCATCCCGGTTGTTCCAGTTTTACTGGGTAGTGAAAGTATGGAAAAAAACATCCCCAGTATTGGTTTGTGGCAGTGGGGGGATCCCACACGATTCAATTCTCGTAGTTCATCCCATCATCATCTCACGAAAATCATCCTAACAGCGAAAAAAACATCCCATGACTTTCGCGACTTACCCAACTTGGTGACTACAGATACCCTCTGGTAATTTAACAGTTTGCTATTGAAAATGGCCCAGTCGACATAGTGGATTTACCCACTCAAAATGGTGATGTCCAACAGCTTTTTGTTAGTTTGCCGGTAGCGATGGAAAACCAGCATTAAAATCGTCGCTAAATCATCGAAGCATTGGGTAATCTTTTATGATCTCACCAGGTTACCTTCGATGACTCTGAACGATGGGACAGCCTTTTCTGGTGAGATTTAGGACATCAAAAGTTTTGGCCAACTTCGTAACCTTGGCTACTTGAATCATCTGGAAAATCCTTGAATCGGAAGGAATATCATGGAATATCTACTAACCAGCTCAGAATTGGTGTTTTGGGGCATCTTTTTGAGCCTCCGCTGCTAGGATTTTTTGGGACCAAGGTACGTGCACAAGCTCATGGAGACCGTCGCCGAGGACAGTGACCCGTGACATTTTATCGACATGGGTTACGTCCCTTATGGTAAACCAAGCCATTGTTGCGATTTGCCGAAATATATGAGTTATGGGATAACAAACATGCAACAATTGATGGTAAACATATGAAATTATTAGTGAATTAAGAGATGAAAAAAGATGTGTCTCACTTCCCATTTTTTTGGGTTGAAAAGCAACACAAGCCATCTCGTCAGGTGCGAGCACAGGGGCACAATCGGCCTGTTCCAATTGATTCAGGGGATACAAAGGCTTGGACACCGGTTTTGGCGGGTCAAAATGTGGGAAGTTCAGCAAGAAACATAGGATGAATGTGGGTACAATCATAAACCATCTTCCAGTCATCACCATTTTCATAGGTGGTAGAAATTTACCATTCCCAGTCATCAGTAGTAAAAAGGGCATTACCAACATTAATGACAGTTGAGTGGTTCTTGGTCTCAGACCGCTTCATTTTCATCCCTGCAAGGCAAGGGTTTTTTTTGGGCAGATCTTAAGATGAGATGAATTTACCCATTAACATGGTACATCCTGTACCGCAAACACTCCTGTGTTTGCCTAGTGTTTCGCAAGGTTTGCCTCCATTCGTCCACTGGATTTTCCAGAAATACCATGAGTTTCTTTCACAATAAATCTCGGTGCGTCCATCCGCAGAGCTTACCCGGTAGTAGGGATGTCGTTCCGTATCTCAAGTGCCCAAAGGGCCTTATAATTTTGTTGCCCCAAAAAAGGATGGTTAATACAAAAAAGATAACACAAGATAACTGCGGTTCTACTCTACATGAATCTAAAAGCTTGACTGATAAAACAAGGTTCTCTAAGTTCTCTATATATTTCCCCGAAAAGACCCGAGCTGAGCAAAGATTCCATCATCTCTGCCGGAAGGTGACGCCTGAGTCTGGGGAACCAAGGGAACCAATTTTGGACGGGTGAAATGGACAGAAATTTGGTGATGTTTTGGTTGGAAACAGGTAAACTACATTGGCATATAACCATCATATAACCCACTTTTATATTGTCCCTTCAGTAACTTCAGTGATCATCAAAGTAGGACCACCCGGACCTCAAAGACGCAGTTTTTTTTTAAAAAAAAATCTTGCGCAGCCTCTGAGAAATTCACAAACCATGGTGGAATTCTGATTACAGTTTACAGTACTATGACTATGACTTACCCCCAAAATAGTTTTCCGATCTTTTCCAAAGTACTATCAAAAAATGTAACCCCAGTCCCAAAACTGGGGGCAAAATCCCAATATCCGGAGTTGACATCGCCTCCATTCGAACCGACCAAGTTCTTGGTCCGCAGCACTCTATGCTGCTGGAGCTGTGTTGGAAGCAGTGGATCAGGCAGGATTCCGCCAATCTCCACATTGGGGATCATCCCCCTAGAAAACAACGGGTGATGTTCAAATAGGATCTAGGACCTAGGACTATTCATGGGCTATCCAACATCTCCAACACTTCCCCCCGCTTTTTTTTCCATGTTCAAGGATGGAAGCTGCAATCCAGCAAAAAACATGGCTTTCAGTTGGGGCGCCGTTGGATACATCCATTCCATACTGCAGGGGATGGACCCCCAGGTGCTGTTGTGAAAAACTCAGGGCATAGCCGGGGATAGCCCCAAATGACGTGGTTTTCGAGTTTTGGGGTTTTACCATGTTTAACCCGGTATTCCCATGAGACGAAACCCATCACAGAGTTTTGACGCTGGCGGACTCACAGCTAGCTCGGTACACTGACTATTCCTGGCTTTGCTGAAGGTTATGAAGGTTATTTTCCCAATGGTAAATCCATGTAAATCCACCATGTGGGGAATCTGTAGGGTGTCGTTTTAATTTTTTGGGGCCATCTTAAGCGAATCCAAGTATTGTTGGCAAGATCAAAGTCTTCCCCATGTTCATACACCTATGCAGACTGGAGCAACATCATGTCACATGCCGATTTTCGTTGCACAAAGAGTCATTTTTGCATGGTCTCCACTTAGTCAATCCTGGTGCAGTGCACCAAGAACAACTTTGCAAGCCCCCAAAACATGCGTTTGGAAAATAATGAAGACTAATGAAGTAATCTCTTCCCCCAATACGAAATGCACCCGAAAAAAACCCCTGGTCTAGTATCGGATCCATTCATGTTGGGCAAACCATCGCAAGTCATCTAAGTGGTACCCGGCGTATCCGGTGGAAGGACTACCTTATACTACCTTTGTCCCATGGCCATTTTTGGAGTTCCAGGAGTTACTGGGCATGGCAGCCATGGCAGGTGTGTGGCGAGAGTGCCCGCAACGCTTTCTGTGCTGTGAGACCGCCAGGGACCTGTTTGGATCTGGATTGACGACGTGACGACGTGACGACCTTTTTTGGGCACCCAAAGGTACTTCAAAAAAATGGCTACTGTAGCAGCTATTGAATCATATGGCGCACGGACAATAATTGGGTGATCATTCAGAAAATTCATGAATTGGCACCGAAGAATAGCTGAAAAAATCCACCTCAATGGTTGGAAAATCCCAAACTTTGGTGAATGATCGAACTATAGCTGACGGATTAGCACAGAAGCTACTGGAGGGTAACCCCGAAGGACTTGATGGTATGACCCTGAAAAGAAGCATGGGATTCATGGGATTCCTTCCGAAAAATGGGTGTGGGTCAATACTTATGACAAACTTCGGTGGTGTAGGGGGGTCCCCAATTTTTCGGACAGCCCAGGCCGGGGCATCATTTAGGTCCCGCGGGTGCAGTCGACAAGAAGGACTGCGCCCTGATGTCTGCGGAGCTGACCCACATTTTGTGATGTCCCCCCAAAGAAATGTGGAAATTGCATGAACTTGCCTACATCCACCATGGTTTCGTTTGGGGGTAACACGAAGGGGGGAAGAGATGAATAGTATAGGTTCTTAACTATAGTAACTATAGTATACTATAGTAATCTCCATTACTCCCTATAAATGATGTAAATGGATAACTATAGTAGCTATAGGTTAACTGGAGATTACTATAGCAGCTATAGGTGCCCAATTCCCCCCTGGATCACGGACCCAAAATTTCAGGTTATTCACCCCTTCAGGTTTTCATGACAATTTAAGTAATCATGGTCAATGATAATGAAGAATCATCAAGTAATAGCCTGTCATTTTGTGATCCGTTTTTTTGTACATTATTTTTTTGTAAGCATCAGAACTTCAGACATGTTTAACGAGATAGTAACATATAGTAACTATAGATTCACGATTTCCCATTCATATCCCCATGGTATTCCCATTTTCGTTGCAACAAAAATCCTCGAAATCGCCTAGGACCTGCAGGACGACCCAGAGGGTTCTCAGGCACTGTGGATTTCATGGTAGTTCTCTCCATGGGGTGAAATATGGTTAGATATGGTTTTTCTGACCTTTGGACATACCATTTAAATATGGTCATATAAATATGGTTAAATCTGGTTATAGAATGACCCAAATGGGTTTAAATCTGGTTACAGAAACCTGAAGTCATCTCTATTTAGAAGTTCCAACTATGGTTGGGTGAAATATCAACATGTTGGTGCCCATAGACTGCCTTACTTCCTGGAGACATCAACTTCCACCCACACAGCAGGGTCCGGGAAATACGACTGGGCGCAGTCGGTAGTGGGGGTGGGGTCCATCACCCCATGACTTTCTCCGGAGTATTTGGACAGGCGAGGGCTGGGCATGATCGATATCTGTGATACTAGATGGTAAATGGGTTAGTCTCGCGTACATAGCACAAATAGTATATATATATATAATTAATGATAAGCACAGAATACTAGTTAATCATAAGAACAGTCTAAATAAGAATAAATTGCAATGAACATACTCTAAGAATGCAACTGGTATTACCAAGAATTCTGTATAGCTGGCAGGGCTTCTGCTTGCTGAACAACGTGGCCATTGGTGCAGCCTATGCGTGGGAAGACCCAATCCTGGGACACGTGCATGGTGATTATATGCGATTATATATGTTTATACGCGATTATATGTGATTAGCATCATGATGATGATGATGATGATGATGATGATGATGATGCTGATGCTGACGATGACGATGACGATGACGACGATGATGATGATGATGATGATGATCATGATGATGATGATGATGATTGATGTTGAGGATGATTCTTATACACTATTATATATATTTACACATTATTATATATGAATTATTATACATTACTAGCAAGTCCTTGGGGATGAACATTTCGTCGAAAAATCCCATGGCTTATATGGTTGGTTTATACCCCCTTGATTTAATCAACTGTCAATGGAGAAAATCATGATTTCATGGGATTTATTGGGATTTATTGGGATATATGATGGTATACCCTCTGGTAAACTAACAGTTTGCTATTGAACATGGCCATAGAAATAGTGGATTTACCCATTAATAGCATAGTGATTTTCCAGTTCGCTATGTAAACGTTTACCAGAGGGTTTACCATGGATTGTGAGATGATAATCATGGCCAGATACTGATATGGCAAGATGATTACCAAGATGCCAAATACTGATTGAAAAATATTGGTTTACCATGATGATTTACTGTAGGTCCATTTACCATGATACAAAGAATGATACAATTTTCGCATCTGGCATCTTCGGCATATTGTTGGTTTTCCATGGATAATGATGGCTTACCACGTTATCATCATGTGGTATCGTTGTTGGTATCATTAACATGCTTTTCTCTAGATGATAGTCATGATAAGGATGGTCGTCATGATGTCAACGCTACTGGAGGTCGGGATTCCTGCTTCGCTAAAGGCCACGCTAAACCAATTAAAGATCAAGCATTTGTGAAGGTAAGGTATGATTATTTAACATTGTAACATAGCTATAGGAGCTATGGACTTGTAGCACTATGGACTTGCGGTTAACAGCTGATCGATCTATGAGGATTTACAGATGATCTATGAAATTATAGGTATATTACCTATGGTACGACTATATAATTATAATTATAATTATTATAATATTATATCATAGGGAATATTATTAATTGATGATCTATAGGTACTCAATAAATACATATATGGTATATATATATAATATATATGATCATATTGAATTAATATTTATCTAATATTATGGTATATACAATATATTTATATCAATATACGATCATATATAATCTATGACGATTTTTCTAACATGGCGATGGTCCGTTGTTGGCTACCCACCCCGGCCTCCTGGGATGGTGGCTTTTTTAAGGGCTTCCGTGGTACCAACGAAAGCCTTTTTAAGAAGTAGAAAGTGATAAAACTCAAAAAGAACACAGTTATAGATTTCTTTAAAAAGATCATCTTGAATCAGATATTATCAGATATTATCAGATATTATCAGATGTGGCTTAATATGGGGTTCCGTAGAGTACAGTTTCCCATGGATCCAATGCCGAGAAGCATCGAAGAAAAGGGGGTGATTTAATGCACTGGATTTGATCACCAAGGCTCCCAAGGATCATGACTATCCCGATCATCATATCACTAGTAATAATAGGATCCTTGGGATATGATGATCCTTGGGATAAACCTAGTAATTATCACTATTATTTATCACTAGTAATTTAATCCATTGATTGTGGTTCCTCAATGTTCCCTAGCTGACATTTCTCACCGCGAAAATTCATCTACTCCCAAGGAAGTGTGTCTACCGGCACTTCATCCGCAAGGCAAGGATTCCTGACCTGACTGTTGTCCGAAAATGGGGTATACCGTATACCATCGTATACCCCAAAATTCCATGGTTGATCTGAATGTGTTTGCCTATTAGAATGGACATTTTGGGGGGTATACATCATTTTTCCGCTGGGATCTCGTCCTTTTTGTCGAATTGACAGTTTTTCCAAGATTTTTTGAGTGGGTGTCTCTGAAAATGGGGTATACCAAGATTAAGTGGATCCTTGAAAATGGCAATTCTAAGAGGGTTTTCATGGTGATTCATGGAGCTTTCCGAAGTTGGAGGTAACCCCCAATCATCATCCATTTTTGTTTGGGATTTCCCATCAAAAAAAACACCATCCAATGCTCGCTTGGGGTAGCCGCGTAGCCCATGGATTCGTGCCCCAGGTGGCGATCATTGACATCGATGTCCACCATGGCAACGGCACAGAAGCCATTGTGCCTCAACACAGAAAACTCGGGGGGTTTTCGACTGGAGGATCCCCAGCATGGGTTGGTGGTTGCCATTTTTTTTTCAATGGGTCGGTTATGAATTCGAATGACTGGATGCAACATGGCAGCCCCGAGAATTTTTAAGTGACACCTCCCTGTTGGTGTTGAAAAGAGCCCTGTTGGTTGATAGGGGAGAGAATCACCTTGCAGGGAATCCTATGAATCCAACCCACGAAAAAAAGGGACGACAATTCATTTTTCATTTCAACAAAGAGATGCGTCCTTTTACACAAACATGTCCCTAGGATTCCGGAGGAGTATGGTTACTGCAATTCGTCGTAGATGACTACGACAACGTTAGGCTTCCGGGAACTTCATCGGAACGCGATCGCGTAATTTTATAGGGGATTGGTCACCCAGGTCGGGGGATCCCCACATATCCCCACATCCAGCATCCAGCACCAGCAGTGCACCAGCTATGGGATCCAGATCCGCAAGGTGCGGAATTTGAAGTATACTCCGGAGATGCCGAAGGTTGCCCCGATGCCCAAGTTGGGTTTTGGCGTCGGCGTCGGCGTTTGAAGGGTTTTTTTTTTATCACCAGAAGTGGGTTGAATTTTCGCCCGGTTGAAATTCCGGAGACGGAAAACCAGAGGGAACCCCGGTTGCAACATGATCTAATTGGAATGGAAAGTTGTTCATGATGTTATTTTGCTTTTCTGGAGAGGAACATGATGTAACATGTGTTGAGAATGCAGAATTGCATAGAATTGCCATTTCATGAAGAGCCGCTTGAACTTGCAGCAATAGTCAGAGACATCAGCCATCAATTTTTGAAACAAGAGAACATATTTGAGCACAAGGAGTGGAGGTTAAAACTGTGAAATATCATGAACTATATAGCCTATATAGCTATCAGATCAGCTATCAACATTTTTTTAAAGGGTAGGTGGCAGCCGTGGCACAGCTATCGAATTTGGAGAAAACCACCCTATCGAAGGATTGGACTTGGAGGTATTTAGCCTCTGGTTATGACTAACATAGCCATGGTATAGATGGCCCATAGAAATAGACGCTTTGCCTATGAAACATGGTGATTTTCCATGGCGATGTAAAATAACCAGAGGTATTTATATCTGGTTGGTGGTTTGGAACATTTTTTCCCGAGAGCGTCTGGTTGGTGGTTTGGAACATGGCTTTTATTTTCCATATATAGTGGGAATGATAATCCCAACTGACTAATATTTTTCAGAGGGGTAGGTCAACCACCAACCAGTGTATTTATTTCATCCTATATTACTATATTATATGTCTATTGGCCATATAAATAAGAATTTCAGGATGGTTTTTCAGGTCAAAGACAAACCATGTGTCCATATGCCCCATATTTTTCATGCTGAATTCCCTCGTTCCCCATTGATTCCTCGTTTTGCTTCGCCGCGAGGACAAGAAGGGCAGTATGACCTTTGGCGGAGCTGCTGTGAGGAGCGGCACAATAAAAAAAGCCTCGGAAGTCCCCACCAAACGGAGGTTTTCATCGTGAAAATCATCGAAGCAAATGACGTGTAAATGATTTAGTAAATGACTTAGTAAATGACTTAGTAAATGACTTGTAAATGACTTGTATATAAATGAACATGTATGAAAATCTGGTATTTGATCTACTCACCCCTTTGAAGTTCTGATTTCATTTTTTTTCTTTTTTTTGTTTCTGGATTTTTCGGTCACTCCAAAGTTTCCCCCTATGATGGTGAAGCCCGACTTCTTGACACCTTTTCTTCCCAGAATTTTGCGGAATCCAATAGCTGTAACTGTGTAACTTTCCAATGGGTAGATTCATGCCCATGCTCTGGGCTACCTTAAGGGTTTGGTGGATGATTCTCATCACTCCCTGAGAGATCTACCAGCCATGCCATTTCGTCAAACTGCGCCGCAGTTTGACGTTGTTTAAACCGCCAGCTTGCAAGCAGGGACCCCGGGCGCATGACGAAGGAGAGACTCTATCATAAGACAAACATCTATGGTAACCCTGAAGAAGATAGAAAAGTACTTTACAACAATTTCGGGGTACAATAAATGTTCTTTTCCTTTTTTCGGGAGTTCTATAGTATATTTTGTTTCTTGAGTTTTAGTGATGCAGGACTGGATCATCATGGTTTTATGACTCATTTCCTCAATCTTTTCTGCAACGGCCTCCGAGCAAAAGCCTTTTTCTGAGGCCATGGTTGGATGGGAACGACGTTGACAACGTTTTCTTCGCGTCCGGGGCGCCTGGTGCGGACAAGTTGAGACAAACGTGACGACTATAGTGACTAGTGGTTGAAAAGGTCCTGCAGGAACATGGGACAATTCATCCCTCCTGTCATAATATATACATATATATATATAAGTATACTTAATAGTGACTTGTCCTTCTATCTTATGTTGTACCCTACGAACATACACATACCATATATACACTTATACATACACTCTATATATATATACATACCGTATGTATAATATATATAAGATATATATATAAGATAGTACAGATCTATATATGGTTATCAATGTGCATGTCAAAATCTATCTCTAATTACAGAATGCCCCTGTCTTCCTGTGAAAATCCTGGCAGAAGCTATTGATAGCCCAAGAAATGGGTGAAGCTGTTCTCATAGAATTGGATGATGGGAAAATTGGAACCGGTTTAAGCCCTATATTTCATGGTAAAAACCTATGGTTTCCGGTTAAAATTTTCCCTTAAACCAATCCAGTGATGTTCATCTTGATGCCAAGACATCAACCATTTCTCTGAAAACATGGCATCCAAACATATTCCCAATATGACCAATACCATTATCTATCATTCTCTACATGATTAATTAATATTAATTAAATACTTGATGCTATTAAAAAGATTTTTCAACAAGGGCTTAACCAAGTAGTTCCCAAACACACCGGCATCGGGACGCCCCTTTTTGGCATGTTTTGGTTCCCGAAAAATCAGGTCCATTCACGGCTTCGGTGGTGGCTTCTATCCAGGCGGCTCTGCGATGGATCGATGATTTGGATTCCCGATGAATAGAATGGTGAGCCAAGGAGCTAGTAAGATTCGAGTGTCCCAACTGTCCCAAGCACATTTTATAGAATTTTCCCAAGCGGTTTTTTTTGTTTCCCAACTCGTTCTTAGATTCTTTTCCCCTCTAAAAAAGGCTCTGGAAGAGGATTTTTGGGTGATATTTGTTGACGAGTTGAGCCGGACTGACGGCGAGCTCAAAAATGGAGGGGTCATCATGGTCATGACGGTCATGATACTGATGATAATTATTGTAATTGTTATTGTCACAATGTTGATTCGAATTATATTTCTGATTATTTCTTATTATTTCTATTTATTTCTTATCTCCATAGTACCACGTACTATAATATTCCAATTCTGGAACCATGGTTTTTTTCCCGGTCTTCCTGCCTTTTCCAGGTACTGGGGGAAGCTGCAGCCGAACGGCTCCAAGGTGGAAACATGACGACTGGATGATAACTAGGGGGTATCCCATGACTTAGGAAACCTCCATTTCTTGAATTAAACTTAAGGGGATTTAATATCCCTTTCAATAAATAAGATCTTATCCCCAGATTCATAATTATCACTAATCCCTTTTTTTTAATCCCCATATCTCCAAAAAATGATAACATGATTGCATGGGCCGGGGAGATATGCTCAGTTAATGATTTAACCAACCATTTACAGGGTTGCTCCAACACATTATAGGTGAATGATAGCCAGTTTTCTGGGGAAGCACAGGTCATTTTGCCTCTTTTATCATTATTTATCTATCCATTTTACCATCCCCTTGGGTCAGAAAACTCACAAAGATCTAAAAGGACCGATGTATTGCAGTAGAACAAACAGCTTTTGTACCAGCACCAAACATCGAGACAGATCCTCCCAATCCACTGTTTTCACGTGTTGTCAGTTGTATCGGCATTTTCAATTATGTGGTCCACAAAGATCGTACGAAAGCGGGGTATGACATTTACATGAATTTACTGTCCCCAAAAGTGGAGAATCATTGGAAATCATTGGGAAATCATTGGAAAACCCTTCAAAACCCCATGGGATTCCAATGAAGCCAGGATCATCAACGCGCCCTTGAAGAAGGGCTCAGGACCTGCGGAATTCCGACGTAGCATGAGGCCAGGCCGGTTTCCCCTGTGGAAGAGCCATGGAAGACCCATAGTTTCCTCTCTACATGGTGGCTTTTCCATTGGTCCATGGTTTTCCACAACTGTGAGTGGTTTGTTTCCTGAATTTTTGGGGTACCCTCTGGTAAACTAACGTAACTATGGAAAATTACAATTTTTAATGGGAAAATCCACTACAAATGGCCATTTTCAATAGCTATGTTAAATTACCAGAGGGTACCCCTAAATCATCCATTGATTCATAGGCTTTTCCAATACAAACCGCAGGGTATCCCCATGACCAAGGCGTGACATCCTCCCACAGCTGCAGGCGGGGTGTTTTTATGGAGATGCCAGGTACTGGTGATCCAGTGAAGTGGAAAATCAACATTTGGATGTGGGTCAAAATGGAAGACCTAGGGGACCACAGATGTTAGTCTAGTTTAGTATTAACCATCCAATTATTGGGGTACCTAATTTTGACCCATTCCCATTTCTTTGAGGTAAACCGTTTTTCTCAGCAGATAGATGCAGGCTGAGTATCTTTCTTGAAAGAATATGGCAATATGGTGATAAATTTTCAGGTAATATGAATGGTGAAAACAGATGTACGTAGTGGTAACCTGTTGTAACTTGCAACCGTTTTTTCCAGCGCCAAATACTTTTATTTACTTCAGCAGCAGGGTCAAGAATTGCGTTTTAAACATGTTCAAACTGGGGTAACATCAATTCATAGTAATCAATTCACGATAATCAGTTCATAATAATCAATTCATACTAATCAGTTCATAATAATCAATTCATACTAATCAGTTCATAATAATCAATTCATACTAATCAGTTCATAATAATCAGTTCATAAGAATCAATTCATAGTAATCATTTCATAATAATCATTTCATAATAATCAGTTCATAATAATCAGTTCATAAGAATCAATTCATAGTAATCATTTCATAATAATCAGTTCATAATAATCAATTCATAATAATCAGTTCATAAATCAGTTCAGTTTCCGCAGTGTTGTCTTGGTTCGAAGACGCTTGAGATCCAGATTTGACCGTCAGTTTCGTGCAGGAGTTTCATCCAGATTTGATCTTTATCGCCTCCGGCTTTGATGGGCATGAGGCAGCTGCGGATGGGGACCAACCAGCCAACCAGCTGCTAGTCATCGATGTTGAGGTAACCAGAGAGTACCCTCTGGTAAACTAACATAACTATGAAAAATGGCCCAGTCGAAATAGTGGATTTACCCAGCTAAATAGCATAGTGCTTTTCCAGTTCGCTATGCAAACGTTGACCAGAGGGTAGCCGGAGAGAGCAGATTTTTCGGCCAAGCCTTGCCTCAGGATGATTTGATTGGATGTTGTGAGTTGAGTGAAGAGGTGCGACACCAATGGGAGCTTTGGGTGCGACACCCACAGTGACGTCGCGACCGCGACCGAAGCCTGGTTCATAGTGGTGAGGATTCCCAAGAAAAAGCCTCTTTTCAGCTTAGTGAATGAGTATAATTCCCCAGATGGATGGAATCATTTCATCTGTGAAATGGGGGGGTTTTTATGGTTAGAATTTCATGGCTTGTTCCTAACAGTGAGGAAAACTCTGGTGCAAGAAACGATGTTTCTGACTTTTCGCCCGCTTCTCAAAGGGTCACAGGTGTTTTTAGCATTTTTTTAATGATCTAAGACACGTCCCAATGAGCTAGCTTTGCGAGCCGCAGCTGTTGAAGAATCAATGGATACTGTTCAAATGGAATTGGAAAACAATAGCTGACTGCTTCGCCACATGGGGAATCAAATTCTTCAGCGTCCGCACGAGATCTTCATTGATGTCCTCACTTTTCCCCCTGCTTGCGTTTTTTGTGCCCCATCCCCATTTTTTCACCTTGATGAGTCTCCAAAATTCCCAAGGGGTTGATTCTTTTGACCCATCTTTGACCCATCTTTCCCCTGCCATCTTTGCATCTAGAGCTCTCATGGCAGGATTACATTTGGGCCACGCAGCAGTTGATGGCCGTTGCCAACCGCTGCTGTGGGGGCTTCTCAGGGGAGGAAAGCCCCATATTTAATGGTGAAACCCATGGGGTTTCCTGTGAAGATGTTCCCAACAAAACCGTCATCCAATGAGGTTTTCTGTTTGAGATGATCATGTAGGATTTTCTGCCCAGAATGATTGGGCAGTTGCTGGTTGTTCGCCACGAGTGCTGGATGTTAGCTCTTTGTTTCGCACTCGTTTCTGCTGGGCTGTACGGCTGTACCACTCATTTAGTGAAGCAATGAAACTTGGGAAGAAACATCAAGAAACTGGATCAAGAAACCGGGAAAACGTGGCAGCTCCATTTCGCTACAGTATGATCCCGCAGAAACCATAGGACCAGAAACGTTTTTTTTCCTCGAATCGACTGACGAAACAACACAGGTAACAAGCGTATTTTGTTTGCGGTTCCAGGATGTATTTATAGTATTTTATAGTGTCATATATATATATATGTGCACATGACTAGCACATGGCCAGGGTGTTGTGAAGCAGTCCCTGAGATGTGGATGGGCTTTAGAATTACTGAGCCCGAGAAGAGGCTGTGTGGCTTGACTTATACAACTTATACCCCGTTTCAGAGCCACTAGCTGCTATGTCATTGCGTGTATGGAGATACTGAGATGAACATTTCGATCTAGATATGGATGATATCGGGGTGGATCAAAATGATCAAAACCTATTCCGATCTGTTCTTAACAATCTTAACAACATATTTTGGGGGGTTGAACATCATAAATCATCATAGATTCCATCGCTCTTCATCAGAATTGCCAGGGTTTTCCACCCATGCCCATGCCCATATGCAGCGGTAAATGAACAGTTCGTTCGACCCTGCCAGTTGTCGGGGTTGGAAGAAACTCGATTCCACTAGAAATGGTGAGAAAATCAGGCTCTATGTTGAAAATGATCCGCATTTTTTTCTGCATGAATTATAACATGCTATGGCCCTGAAACAAAGGCGCCTGGCTTTGAGAGACTTCCCGGCGATCCACTGAACATCTTGAGGCAACGGACGCCTGGTGTCCGTCTTAGAAGGCGGCTACAACACCCGTGGTGAGGTGCCGATCCACTGTGGGGACTTCTGTGGTGTTTCTGATATAGCAAGGCCCAATAAAAGCCGGGACACAACGGGAACATGTTCATGGGATGATGATGGAAACAGGATCGAAGTAGGTGCCATTTAGGGAAATACTGATTGAAATACTTGTCGATCTTTTTTTCGGCACCATAGAATGCACAATGGAAGCTGAACCAACCATTTTATGGATACATGATGGAGAGACATAATGGAATATAATGGGATACAAACAAGCAACAATATGAGATTTGGGTGTGTTGGAAATTTTACAGTAATGGGGAGCATATGGGAGCATGATGGTACACCATATTTTCAGACAGACACCATGTAATTTGATATGTTCTTGCAAACTCATCTTTGATTTTTTGTTCGGAAAGCTCAACTTGCAGTTGCTTTTGGTGTTCGTCATTTCTGAATATGTCTTACACTTATGTGTATATTTATTTGATATTTGGAAAACCTCCTGGTAATTTAACAATGGAAAAATGGGCCATGTACTGTATAGACTGTATAGATGATTTGCCTGTGAAAATGGTGCTTGTCCACAGCTATAGTAGGGGAACAATCACCACAAGGCCCTAATATAGCGGGACCAGTGGGAAAAGATCCATGATTTTTTTGTGAGGGATCAGGGTTTGATTCAACCTTAAATCGCATGACATCATCATTTTCCCCGTTACTTAGGAACTACCTCATTTTTGGGCAAACCCATATCATAGTTCACCCCCCAAAAAATGACTTCGAATCGTTATGTTTTGAGAAGTGGCTGCGTTCGACAATCCCGTTGTTGAGTTGTGGGATGTTGTGGGATTATACTATTCAATATATGGAGGTTTCCTAAGTCATTGGGTTACCCCCAAATCATCCATTTCAATAGGATTGTCCATTTTAAAATATTTTAAACCATCCAGCTATTGGGGTATCCCGGTATCCCCATTTTAAGAAACCTCCAGGTCCATAAATGGATTATCCACTTATCCAAATTGTGGCAATTCCTAAGAACCTATGGCAGGATTTCATGGATCAAATCTCAGAGCTGTTTCCTTTGGATTCCTTCTTCCTTTTTAAGTACTCCCATTCCATCGTTATTGACTTTATTGCTTATGTCCCGAAATAATCTGTTGCTATACACAAAAACCGGGTGAATCTGAAGAATGACGATGAAATTCCAATGATGATGGCAAACATATCCGATATCCTATATATCTCAGCAAATTGATAGTGGTCTCACGTCGTGACCTCACTGGAATCATGGTTAGTAAGGGGCAACTCTCCCTTTGTTTCAGGTTAATAAAGTATTGTCATTTAGCCAGATCAAATTAGATTAACATAGATCCTGACAATCACCCATTTGTAGTGGAAACGAGCTTCTTCCAACCCCTATCTGGCAGGGTCGAACTGCTAATTTACTGGAGGGTATGATTTATCCAGATCAGGTATGGGTCAAAACTGGGTCCCCTTAACAATGGATGGCTAATACTGAAATAGACTAAAATCATCTAAAATCTGTGGTTGACCAATACCCATATATAGCAGCCCTGGAAAAGATCGAAAAGTGCGAGGGTTGGAACAAATTTTCTATCTTTTCCGGGCTGATATATAATGATATATATATAATTTATAATATATATATATATTATGATATAATATGATATAAATATGTATATAGATAATATACTACATACAATATATATGATATATATGATATATAATAGTGTATAATTTGCTGTATTATATAATATAAACAATATATAATAATAACACTAATAATAACAATAATAATAAATACAATAAATAATAATAATATTAGTAATAATATATAATAGTATATAATAACACCAATAATAACAATAATAATAATAAATAGAATGATAAATAATGATAATACATAATAATAATAATAACACTAGTAATAACAATAATAATGAATTAAGTAAATGCTAATAATAATAGTAAACATCATATATAATAATAACACTAATAATAAATAAAATAATGAATAATGATAATAGTAATAATAATAGTAATAATAATAGAATTAATAATAATATATAATAAGAATAAATAACATAATAAATAATAATAATAGTAAGAATAATAGTAATAATAATGTATCTTAATAATAATAAATAGTAAATAACAATGATAGTAACAGCAATAGTAATCCAAATATGAATAAAAGTACTAATAATAATCTTTAATAAAATGATAGTAATAGTAATAATAATAATAATCTATGATAGAATGATAATAATAGTAATAATAATAGTAATAATAATAGTAATAATAATAGTAATAATAATAGTAATAATAATAGTAATAATAATATATAATGATAGTAATAATAATAATGAATAGAATAATAAATAACAATAATAGTAATCATAATATATAATAAAATAATAATGGTAATGAATAAAATAATAGATAATAATAAAAGTAATAATAATAGTAATAATAATATATAATAATAAAAACATAATACATAACAATAATAGTAACAATAATAGTAATACTATATATATATATTGATAATAGTAATAATGATGATATATATAATATTAAAATATTAATAATAGTTGTAATAATATCATATATTAGAATAATAGTAATAATACTAGTAATAATACTATATAATGATTGTAATGATACTAATAAATAATAGTAATAGTAATAGTAGTAATAATAATATATAATGATAGTAATGATAATAATAATAGATTAAAAAATCAATAATAATAATAGTAGTGATGATATACGAATAAAAAATAACAGTAATAGTAATAATAATATATAATGATAATAATAATGATAAGCAACATAATAAATAATACTACTAATAATAGCAATAATATATTATAAAATAATAATAGTAATAATAATAGCAATAATAATAGTAATAATAATAGCAATAATAATAGTAATAATAATATATAATGATAGTATTAACAATAATAAATAAGATAATCAATAGCAATAATAGTAATAATAATATATAATAAAATAATAATGATCATAGTAATAATAATTTAAAATGATAGTAATAATAATAATGAATAGAATAATAAATAACAATAATAGTAATAATAATATTGAATAAAATAATAAATAATAATACTAATAGTAATATATAATGATAGTATTAATAACAATATATAATATATATAAAAATATATAATAACAATGGTAATAATAATGGTAATAATAATGGTAATAATAATAATATATAATAAAAAAGTAAAAATAATAGTAATATTAACGTATAATGATAGTAATAATAATCAAGAACATAAATAATAATAATAATAATAATAATAATATATAATGACACTAATACTAATAATAGATAAAATAATAGATAATAGATAATAATAATGATATATAATAATGATATATAATAATAATACATAATAATAATGATATATAATAGTAATAATTAAAACACTATATTATTATGATTATTATCGTTATCATCATATATCCCTTAAACGTTTGTGTGTCGTAACATCTCCCTGGTGAACTCCCGACTGCTGCTTTTTTTTGCGTTGAGGCTCTGTCGCCATTTGCATCTGCGGTGGCCAGCCACGTGCATCTCGGTCACCTATATGGTTGCTGGGTTGCCCTGAAATGATCATGAAATGATCATGATATATATATATACAATATTTCATATATATCATATCAACTATGATATGATATTGTAAAAACTCCTCCAGTAAAACCATGTAGTGTATATATCATCGATCTACTCTGTAGCGTTGGTTCAAAAGTATCAGCAGCTTAGCGGATTTTACCCCATTGTCGGTTGACCTGGTAAAATACAGGTTATCAGCCGTAGTCTCACTACTTTGCTATGGGGACCCCAATTGACCATCCTCTCGCCGTTCCAGGGTCAGGTCCATCGGCTGTCGCTGTGCCCAATGTGGCCGGGGGCAACCCCGAGCCGATGGATGACGAAACAATGTTCCAACCCGTTGTCGCGTACTTTACCTTCATACAAAACAACCTGTCCCAGATTACTAGTGGGAATACCCTGCAAGTCATGAGGGAAGCTGAACAGAGGCACCTTCAGATAATGCATGGAGTAGTTGACTCAATTCGAAACGAATGGTCAAGTAGACTCGTAATGCAGGAGCAGGAGTATGAGCAAAGGCTGCAGGAGATTGAAGGTAAGGCCATTAGTGCCGTCAACGAGGAGAGGAAACGAGGCGATGAGATGGAGGTCAGGTTGAATCAGGCTCAGGCATCGAATGACAAAAGAATAGAGGATGTAAAGGCAGAGGCAAACACAAAGCATGATCAGAAAATTGCAGAGGAAAGGCAACGTATCACTAGTGAATTCGAAGCTTCTTATGCACAGACAGTTGAACATGCAAAGAATGCCATAGCTGCCACAAAGAAGCAATATGAAGATCAGGCTGCAATTGATCAGGCCAGGTTCATCAGTTTGAGGACCGAGTTCGAGAACTACAAGAAGGAGATGGCCGACAAGATCAATGAGGCAGCGGCTCAGAACCTTAGCCTTCAGGACCAAATCGATGACCTTCAGGAGCAGTTAAAGCATGTTGCCAAAGCGCAGCATGCCTCCGTTCCGAGAGCATCCGCCCTGAATGCCGAGCCAGCCGCTACCACTAGCGTGCCCCACTTCAATATTGCCACTCCCAAAGCATCCGATGCACAGGCTGCCAAAGGCAGTGACGAGCCGATTCATGAGTTGAAGACGCCTGCAGTGTTGGCACAAGAAGCAAAGGCCAAGCTGGATGAGCTGCTCAAAGGTGGCAGTCCCAAGCAAAAGCCGGCTGTCGGCAACGACCAGCCCCAATTGCCAACGCAGTCAGGGTTTTTCACTCCCACTGAAGCTATCAAAACTCCCCCAAATGACTCCCCCAAGAGCGTAACCAAGCAACAGCAAGTTATGGGTCCCTCAGATCTTATTGAATTGGTGAAAGCCTTAACCCAAAGGGAAGAAAAGGATAAGCCAAAAACTAAGGAGGCCGAACTCATCAAGCTGAACAACATGCCCGCTCCGGAGTCGTATAGGACTTGGAAGAATCATGTCAGGGATGAAGTGAAAAGCTGTTCAGATCGCCCAGATGAGGCGTGGCTCTGGCTCAATGAAGTGTACGATCAAGAGTGCACCAGAGAGCAGTTGGAGAAGAAACTCCAAGATCCTGGAAAGTTCCTCACGCTGGATACAAAGTTATCAGCAGCGCTCACGCGCTCAGCCGGAGGGGACCTCGCAACTAGGATCTTGAATTTCAAGGAGCAGCAATCCCGAAAAGGCATCCAGGTCAGGGGAAGGTATGTTCTGCTCATGTTTGAGGACTACTTCAAGACATCAGAAGAAGCAGGTAGCCTTTACAGAGTAGAAGATCTTTTGGGTGTTGTCAAAGTAGGCGATACTGTCCAGGATCTCCGAAGATTCATCAACAAATGGGATGCTACCCTAGCTGGCATGGCTGTCACCCCCGATGATGCTGTGTTAAGGGACATCTTGTTGAGGCAGATCCGACCAAGTCAGTTGCTGAAGTATGACATTGAGATGTTTGACCGTGCTCATGAGAAATCCCATGAAAAGTCTTATAGTTTTCTTCACCAATCCATGAAGAACTTGATCGATCGCGAACGATTGAGGGAGAACAGGAACCGCATCGCGGAGAAGAACAAGGCTGGGATCAAGGACACAAAGGCCGCACCTGCCAAAGGCGATGGTCGCGGTGGCCGAAAGGGCTCCCCAAGTCGTGGTAGATCGCAGGAACGAGGTGGCAAAGGTGACAAGATTTGCTATAAGTTCCAAAAGGGTACCTGTGATAAGGGGAAGAAATGTCCATTTAAGCATGTCAAGGATGACAAATCTCGAACTCAATCACCCAGAAGAACCAAAACGCGTTCACCATCAAGGGGCAACAAAGATGATAAGGGGAAGAAAATGTCCAAGGAAGAAATGGCCAAAACCCCATGTATCTATCATGCCCAGGGAAAGTGCAGACGTGGTGACAAGTGTTTTTATAAGCATGATGACAAAGCTGCCGCCGCCACCAAAGACACCAAAAGGGCTAATTCACCCGCTCCTAAGAAGAAGAGCAAGGATTCCACAGCCGCTCCATGCCTGATCCAGAAGTTTGCATGCATCGTGCGAAAACAGCCGAAGGCAACTTCGTGCTCTGATGAGTCAAGTGTCAGCATGAAGCGTCTTAGATTCCGAAAGGCCCCACATGTGATCGAGGTGAAAGCAGTTGGTCGTCAAGTCCCAGTCAAGCACCGTCCAAGAGAGTTCACTGAGGTGTACAAGACAGCTGAAGATGTTCCGGTTTCATCCAAGGTTGAACAGCATGAGGCTCAGGTTCGTGCAAGACAGCTTCAGGAAACTGTGAAACTTCATGATTCAGATGTTGCACCTAGTTGTGGGTTTTGTTGTTGGAATGAGGACACACGTGACATCACATGCAAAGAGTGCAGGTTCATTAGCGGTCCCAAAGCCCTTAGAGACATTGGTCGATTCCCGTCAATTGCCACAGCCGCGCCAAAGGCCGGTGTTAGTTGGCTTGTCGACTCAGGTAGTGAATCCGATCTTGTGTCCAAAGGAATGCTGAGGGATGTTAGTGCCAAGAACTGCCGTGCAGCCGAGCACCCGATTTCCTTAGTCACAGCCAATGGTTCGACCGAGGCAAACGAGGTTGCTGATGTCAAGCTGTCCGCATTGCCAGATCCCGTGCATCCGTATGTACTTGATCATACCCCAGCTGTGCTCTCCGTAGGAACGAGATGTGTAGATCAGGGTTACAGTTTCGTATGGCCTGCCAATGGCAAACCAATCCTAGTCCGTCCAGATGACAAGGTCGTCCAGCTCAAGATCGAAGGTCACGTCCCAGTTTTGGATGACAGTTGCAAGGTTTATCCCAAAGATCAATTTCAAAAGGATAAGCACCTCAGAAAGTTGTTTGCAATGCCGACCTCACGGTCGAGCTCAAAAGCCAAACGGGACGAAGCCCAAGATGAAGAGCAATTGGATGAGCTGGTCGAGGATGACGCTCAGCAGGAGTACATCCGAAGCCGCAAGACTGAGGATCTGTTGGCCGAAGCTGCAAGTACCCAACATCAGTACACGCATTTCCCCAAGAACCCCTTTTGCAGAACCTGCCAACGAGCAAGGATGATGGCACCTCAGGCACGAAAGAAAGGTGGTCAGAAGAGAATCGAAACTGAAGTGTTCGGTGACCATGTCATTGGGGATCATGTCATCATCAAGAAAAACGTAGAAGAGGGGTTCAGGGGGGAGCAAGTTGCATTGGTGTTGAAAGATCTGCACACCCAATATCGGTATGTCTACCCTAGCCAGTCCAAGGACTCACAAAGCTGTGTTGATGGTTTGAATCACTTCATTGGATCAAAGGATGATGTTCAAGTTGTGTACACTGACAATTCCCCAGAATTGATCAGGGCCATCAAGGATTTGGGTTACAGACACCAAACTTCCATTGAATATGTAGATTCATCAAAGTCTTTTGCTGAGCGCGAAGTTCGTCAGATGTTGGAAGGTGCCCGGAGCAACTTGTTGCTGGACGGGGGGGGTTAGCCCCGTTTTTACTGGGTTGCTTTTGGGGTTGGGGGGGGTGGGGTGGGATGTCAACGTTCATGTTACGCTGATGATGTTACGCTGATCATCTGGGGTTGGGGTGGGGTGGGGTGGGATGTTAACGTTCATGTTACGCTGATGATGTTACGCTGATCATCTGGGGTTGGGGAGGGGTGGGGTGGGATGTTAACGTTCATGTTACGCTGATGATGTTACGCTGATCATCTGGGGTTGGGGGGGGGTGGGGTGGGATGTTAACGTTCATGTTACGCTGATGATGTTACGCTGATCATCTGGGGTTGGGGAGGGGTGGGGTGGGATGTTAACGTTCATGTTACGCTGATGATGTTACGCTGATCATCTGGGGTTGGGGTGGGGTGGGGTGGGATGTTAACGTTCATGTTACGCTGATGATGTTATCATCTGCGTTCATGTTACGCTCATCATCTGGGGTTGGGGAGGGGGGTGGGATGGGGCTGATGGCTGATGGGGTTCGTTCATGTTACGCTGATGATGTTACGCTGATCATCTGGGGTTGGGGTGGGGTGGGGGTGGGATGTTAACGTTCATGTTACGCTGATGATGTTACGCTGATCATCTGGGGTTGGGGTGGGGTGGGATGTTAACGTTCATGTTACGCTGATGATGTTACGCTGATCATCTGGGGTTGGGGAGGGGTGGGGTGGGATGTTAACGTTCATGTTACGCTGATGATGTTACGCTGATCATCTGGGGTTGGGGAGGGGTGGGGTGGGATGTTAACATTCATGTTACGCTGATGATGTTACGCTGATCATCTGGGGTTGGGGGGGGGGTTGCTACGCTCAGAAGGTCTTGGGGGCAGTGTGTGTGCACTTGCTTTCGATGTTGATGGTACGCGAAGAACGTATTTGGGGTTGGGGGGGTTGGGTCTGTGTTAACTGTATGATATATTTACTGTATTATATAATTATATATTTACTGAATAATATATACTTGTCAGGATGATTTGTTTATGTAAATTTCACCGGTC